CAGTTCAGATGATGAAGCGACATAAGAAGAGATAATAGAGTGAATAAACAGGACGCAATCATGACATTTCTCTTTGTCATAACCATTACAATTTGGGCGCCGATAAAAATATTTATTATAATCTATTCCTTGCAGTTGTTTGCAGATCATCAATATGCTCTCAGCTTCTCACGCATTTGGACTGAAACATAATTCCTTGTTGAATATATTTAAAAACGTAAGAAATTATCGTGGTCACGGATAACAGAGATCCACAGACAAATAATTAAAGCATTGTCACGAATTAATATGAAATATAACACATCAACGGAAATTGGCGAAATAAGATAACTGTCATGAAAGATGAAAAAGGTAAAAAAGAGAAACTAAAATAGATTTCAGAAAATAAACAGAAACTAAATTATTTAGGATAGGATTTAAAGTGCATAAACTTTATATATCTGAGGCCAATTCTTCGTTAGCACATTCTGCACAAAATATTAACGAGAGCGGATTCGGGTATCATGAGATCGACACTGGTGTTGTCACGGTATAAACCTGCATTTCCTAACTATCAATACGGTGCAGGTTGTCAATAGCACAATTTATAATAAGGGAACGTCTACGTTCGACAGCAGCCGTATGTTCTTTCAGATGACATATATCATGTGCTTATGTCACGAAATGGGACGTTTTGGCGTATACCCATGGTTGCTGTCAGCCCTTGGTCCCGCAGTCGCCGTAATGAATATGCATGACTGGACATTGGTCACCTGCATCAACTACGCCATTCACCCATTACGTTATATAGCAGTCGATGGCCCTGTCAGTAAAGTATGATACCGTTGTAAAACTAATGAATTTGTTATTACATTTCCATTTTCACGATTGTTCGATGTCAGTAGATCAGCATGCAGTCCGTGGTCAGATGTCTGAATGCATGCCGTTGACAGATGGTCACCTGTTTCGATGATCTGACTTCCCCTTCATATTACATTAATTCATTAAAACTACGAATTTCAATATTTTAGTGAT